TAGACTTAATGGCCGATCTTTTCATTTCTGAGTAAAGTTAAATGTAGGTTTACTTGACAGATTAACAAATAATACCCCTATAATTTAATCAGCATGTAGTTACTTTCAACTTTACTCAGAGGTGAAAAGACTGGCCCTAAGTCGAATATGTTGAAAAATAAAAATAGTTCTAATACAATATAATTTGTTATTCTCTTAAAATATTTCTCGTATAAATGGGGCAACTTAACCGTTTACTTAATGCAACTCAATTTAAACTAAGTTAGAAAAAAATCACAACACAAAAGAAAATCAAAACACTGTATACTCTTTTTTTATTTAAATTCAACACGGCCCATTACATTATTTACATATAATTTAAATGTAGATATACCAAAAATGTGAGCAAGTTCTTACTGAATGAAGACTTATTAAAAATACAAAAAATAAGTAAAACAAACTTGCTGGAAATGATAAAAAAAAATACAAAATCTACATGACGTGACGTAACAGCTAGTTGACGTATCAATGTCATATGTCATAACAACTTTAGTTATAACTAGAAATGTCAGAGTACATAAGACATTCCGACATCATGAGTTAAAAAATATGAAATTTTATCATTTTAAAAACTAGAATTAAAACGGAACTAATCAATTTCAAGATAATTCGGGTTCTAGTTAAAAAAAAAAAATACAATATAAAAAATGGGCAAAAGTATATCTACGTCTGTACAGTTGTTTAAAAAATTTAACTGCTATATAAATAAATTAACTCCAAAAAACCATTTGTCAAAATATTCACACTAGTGTAAATCACAAAATCAATAGATAACACTATATTACAAAAAAAAGTAGAAATTTCATGATTTACTTCCATTCCCGATGGCTAAAAAAACAATTACTGGTATATAAGTATTAAAAAGTTGATTAGCTATCAAAAAAATTAAACGATTGCTTAATTTGAATATTATTTAATTTTTTTCAAGGATCGTCTAAAACTCTCCTTCATTTAATTTTAAATCAATTAAATAATGATATAAAAAGGAAGAATATATTTTGGTACTTTTTAATCATCGAGATGTAACTTTCAAAATTAAAGCTAGGGCCTACACCGGATGCCGTTTCAAATTTGTCCGCCACAATAAGTACTATACTAATTTTTTATCTTTACGAATAACATCCCCTAGCTCAAACTATTCTAAAATCTGGTATATAGGACGTATTGACTGCTCTACTTGAAAATATCACCTTCGCTTAACCCATCCAATTATAAGTCATTGAATTAACAATATTTCACGATTTTTATCTACTCCAACATTTTTACTTCAACCAAATAGTACTTAATCGACAGAAACTTCTATCGGAAATCTTTCACGATAAATACAACAGGGAGTTCATAATTGAATAAATGTTTGTGAATTTTTATGAAAGATGCTGGATGAAATATTAATTTGAAGTAGGATAGATCACAATACCTTAAAGACGTATCATTCTCTAAATATATAATATATAGTTATCAAAAAGTTTCTAAAAAACCTCTACAGAAATATCAAGTCGAAAAAGGTCGTGACAAATTTGCAACAGCCTCCGTTTAAATATGAGGAGTAGTTTTCCAAATAATTTCCTCGCAAGGAGATTATAATTAGAAATAAAAAAACCCTTCCCCCAACGAACGTATCCTCAAACGTATTAAAAAAAAAAAATTTAAGCTGTCATTTCACTAGTTTGTGGCTCGACAATTATTCCAACGTTTCGATGCTGAATAAAAAATTTCAGTCTTCATGCGTTTCGGATTTTGTTTTGTTTGTAATTAATCAATTATTCAGTGTCTTGTTTAATTTTCTCCTAAAGATCACAACACACTTGAAGGCCACACAACTTGCCTTTTGTTATTCGACGATATCTCACTTCATTTTTATCGAAAAAATATCCAAATAAGGCATAGAAACGGTTAAATAATAATAAATAGATATGAAATTCTGCTTATAACTGTCAAATGTAAGGTGTATAGTCTTTTTGTCGTTTGTCATTCGTCAATTGTCAATAATCATTTTTGTCGTTTGTCATTCATCAATAATTGTCAACAATTATTTATGGTCTTCATTGCAGATATTTAACAATACTTTAAAATGGCGTTCGTAGGCGTTATCTGGATATTTTGTTGCCACGTGGTATTTTAATGCTTATTACGCTAGGAGGTACACTAGCATGTTAGAGGTGCGTCATTTAGTGGGTAAGAACGGGTAACACTTGATCTTTATCTATATATTTGGCATTTACTTCAAAACTTTACCTGTATTTAAAAAAATAGTTAATTAATGATCTATCTAATATTTGATTAAATCGTTTAAAAGGATCTAAAGAGCGAAGAATGAATGAAAAATGCATATTAGAACATTCGGTGACTTTCAATTAATTTCTACAAAATGAAGGAAAAATATGAGTGTGTGTGGCGTAACTAAAATTAAGTTTTCTATTCTAAAATATCACGTGTATTTGCCCAATCCAAAAAAGAAAACCTTTTACAATTAATTATTATCTAATGTTTTATTGTAACAAATAAATTAAAAAAAATGCTAATAATCGGAAATTAAGCCTTAGAAAAACAAAGGCACTTTCAGATCTAGTGTTATATAGTATTTATCAAATCGATAAAAGTCAGTTTAGTAGTATAATCAGGAATTTTTTGGAATAAAATCATAAAATATATTAACTTAAAGTCGAGCGCTTTGTGTTCAAGCTACTATTGGGATACTATATAGATTAACAAATTTAAGAGCTTTATAATTAATTCAACATTTGGTATCAAACTTTCTTATTTTGAAATTTAATATCATATTTATCTCTGATTTTGCCAGTTTCGGTGATTGCTAATTTCGTGACCTGCACAGAGATTCTTATGTATGAACTCGACACGTTACGTGTTGAATAGAGACATTACATAAGAATCTCAGTCTGTCGAATAAAGATAGGTGTTTCGACATATGCTGTATTGAAAGATGAGAATCCCACAGCAGAACTATTTTTCCTCTACTTTTAGTAGGAAGGACTTTTGGTTGATACTGACAATATATATTTTAAATTTGATTATTAATCCAAGAATTGTTCTTTTTATTCACTAATTTTTAAAAATTCTCCTTTATTTTTCAATTTTATTCCTTAGTTTCTTAATGTTAAACTGTTTTTAATTTCTTGACAATTTCTCTCTACAAATTTAACATTTATTTAAGTTGGCATGACTTTCTGTCAACTTCAATGTCATTGTCACTATTTATGTCACTTATCACTGATTTAAGTCAATTTTAAACGAATAACCAACAGCATTTGATATTTACCATTTGAGATTGGTAATTACTACAACATTCAAATGACTTCCGTTATTATTTGGTAATACATCCATGACGTCATAAATCAGCTGTTTTTCGCAAAGTTATAACTAAAAAATTTTGCGGTATTTACCTTCTTCCAGGGCTGTTTTTGATTATTGGTTATAGGTAAAAGCAACTGCAGTGAGTGTTTTGTACCGATTAGTACTAGACTAAACCAGATTTTGTGCCTTTTTAAACATTAAAAACATATTCAAAAATGGTAGAAGATTATTGGATGAATAAAAATTGCAAAGGGAAAGACTTCAGAGACTAATTTCTTCTTTGGATTTTATGCTTTCTTGCAGGACAATAAACAATATAGTTTAAATAAAAATCTATATCGCTAATTCATAAACACGGCGAAAAAGAGAGGTTAAATAGAATTGACAAAATAAACAAACTTGCGACTACGGTTATTACCACTTCGTTTAAGCGATTGCCACTTGTGACGTCAGTATACTAACCCCTTCCATAAATTCACACAATAACCAAGAAATTTTGTGCTAAATCCCAAGAACATTTGGTAGTTCGCTTAAAATTGCTTTTACGATGTTTTTTTGGTACTTTCAAAACTCTAAGATGTCTTTAACTAATTAATTTTGTGATAGTCTAAATTCGCCTCCAACAGGCGCCCTATAGCAACTTACAAAGGCCGAGAACAAACTTTGGGTCTCCTCTATCTATTGGAGCTCAATTTCCACATGCCGTTCAGTGCAGTATTGCAACCTTCTTCTTACCCAAATGGAGTAATTTTCTTTTGCTTGGTTCGAGATTTTGAACAACATTCAGTTGGACTAATTGTTTTTTCCTTTTTGATCTTTTCTAACCTTACAAATATCATTTTGGCGAGATTTGAAATGTTTAAGTAATTATAAGGTTCTTATCTTTGATAATCTTTGCAGTGTCCCGAAGATGGCTTGAACGCCAAAAGCGCTCCATTTTAATTTAATAAACAGGGAAATATATTTCCCCTTTTGTACACACTTTAAATACAAATTCTTTCATTTCTTATTACCCAGTGTGTGCACGTTTCATTTTTTCTTGAAGAATTGCTTTTAGGTTGATATTATTCACAATTTATAATTAAAGAATCTGAAGTGATAAAAATTGGCAATAACCAACTCGTAGTTTATCTTCAATTGCATCCACCATTGTTTTCCCCAATTTGATTAAAAAAATTATCTATTATTTATTATCGAAATTAGATAGATATGAAGAGGATGCTAAGAAATATCCAACTCTCTTCAACCTTATATATGGATTACGTGAATAGGAAACTGCTTAAACACTAAATTTGTATATCAACCCATAATCACGAATTTTCATAATAAACCAAAAACGAAATTTAATTACTACCAGTAAAAATAAACGAACGAAAGTTATTTTATCACAAATAACCCCAGCATTACATTAACAAAACTGATTTTTTATCGTTTGACCATAATCTGCGTTTTTTTTTTTATGACTCAGTAGCACCCGTTTAACACACTAAGGCCCTGCTCTCGTCTTATTTGAGGCAGTCTTCCCGGCCGACAAACCGACACGGTATGGTTCTCTTTATTTATTTTTTAAATGGGGCACACACGCAAAAAGCCAAAGAACACAGCCCACATTAGTACCATCCAATGCACAGTGTAAATGGCGTTCTCACCGTCTGCGAATTTTCTAGCGACGAACTTCAGAGTCTCGTCGAGTAATACTACTGGAATTGAGAATTTCATCACCGTCATCCATTCTTCAACTGTCAACGGACACACTTGGAATACAACCTGTAAAAATCTCAAGATAGCATACAACGCTTTCACGATACTGGTAGATTATTTTTTTGATCATTAGTTTTTCATTTTATTCGTAAATACAGGTTAGGAAAAGTATACGAGCCATAGGGTATGATGCATTAGGGAGTTCACGGCCATCTCTATAACTTGGGTACAACTTCTACATATCTACCACCTCTCCTGCGTTGGATATTGCTAACCTTTATCAATCAAGCTAAAGTTTAGTAATTTAATATTGCATAAACTACGGTGTGATGTTGTTCTTTCTAATTAAATAAAGACAATATATACGTAAATTCCCCTGATTGTAGAACTAAGAATTGTTCAAATAACTGTTGTTTAGAAGTATATTAGCCATTATGGCTTTGAAAATAAAATAAGTGTTCATCAAAAATGCTAAAAAAGAAACTAGATTTAAAAAAAGGTAAACAATAAAAAAAGAGTTCTCAAAAAACAATAAAAATAATTTAAATGACAAACTACTAAACCTAATGAATAAAGGATTTAAATATACCACTGTCTTATGCTAAAAAATAGTCAAACCTGTGATAGAGACACTCACATATCTCTAATTTGGCATGGTATAATATTTCTACAGTGGCATTTAATTTTCTCTCTTAATTCATCAATATTAGTAGTTCTTTTCCTTTGAGGTCTATATATTTATCCTTTAAGAATATCCCAAAAACGAAATCATTTAGTACTAGGTCTGGTGACCTACTCTATGTTCAACTTAAATGTGAGTTACGTGTAATCACAATAGCCCCTTGATTGATCTCAACACATTAAGCTAGAAGGAAGGAAAATATTTAAAAACCGGATCACTGGGCTGGTCAATAACATGTGCTGCAAGAATAACCTGACTATGAATCAAATCTAAATATTTTTTATAATGTAATCTCCTAAAATGCCAGTCCAAACATTTAATTTTTGAGGTTATTGTGGGCGTGTTGGAGTTAGGGGTGGGCAAAATAGTTTGAAATAATCAATTAATGAAACCGAATGCATATTACTCTTCACATCCTACTGTGTGAAGAGTATAATAAGATTAAAATTAATTAAATAATATCGATATAATGTTTAATCTAATAATCGATAATGTGAATATTCGGAAATAACCAATAAATGGAATATAATCGATCTCTCGATTAATCGAATAATCAACATAATCGATAAAGTAAAAATAATCGATTAAATGAATAATCGATTAATAGAAAATAATCGAATTGAATATTAAAAAATAATCGATTATTTATTTTGATAATCGGCAACCCTAGTTACGAATATTAACATACTGCAGTCTACAATAAATAGAGATGAGCGTCCCCTACACTGTATGGCTCGTATACTTTTTTCCTGACTTGCACATTACTTTTACACAACTTTATGCAGAAATAACATTATAAGTTTATGTAATATTCTAAGATAATTTAACCTCTTTCCAATTTACCTAAAACGTTATATTTCAAATTATACTCACAGAAAGAACATCAATATATAAAATAACGAAATGGAGGGTGAACGAAAGAGCCATTGAACCAATCAACCACCAATTGGACCATGGAGGCATAGCGATGAGGGACTGATTTTCAGATAAACTATACAAAAAAAAGAAGAAAAAAAAAAATAGTATAAAAACAATCCAAAACGTTATATAAAGAAGGCTGCCAAGCAACACTCTTAAAGTTCACAAACTCACCTGTTCATGGCATTCAACATTTCGATTGTTACCAAGACGGACAAAGCCATGGTCATAGGATGAGGATCAGCAAATACCTTACAGTCGACTCCCTTGAATTCGGGACCACCACCGATGCATTGCAAGTGATGTGTCTAAAAAATATATATCGTAAACCCAATTCACATTCGAATAAAGTGAGGATAACTCACCAGTTGGTAATAGTTCAGTTGTGGTCCTTCTGGGCTGTACATGAACCACCAGGCGGCAGCACCGACGGTAGCAGCTCCTACGTATCCACCAATAGCCATATACCTAAAGAACAACCATCCAGAGATCAAGCCTTCATCGGCTTTACGTGGTGGTTTCTGCATGATGTCCAAATCGGGGGGATTGAAACCAAGAGCGGTAGCTGGGAGACCGTCAGTTACCAAGTTGACCCACAAGAGTTGTACTGGAATCAAGGCTTCAGGAAGACCAAGAGCGGCTGTTAGGAAGATGGAAACAACTTCACCGATATTGGAAGAAATGAGGTAACGGATGAATTGTTTCATGTTGTTGTAAATAGCACGACCTTCTTCAACAGCAGCGACGATTGAGGAGAAGTTGTCGTCAGCCAACACCATCTCGGATGCTGATTTGGCTACAGCAGTTCCAGAACCCATAGCAATACCGATTTCAGCCTTCTTCAAAGCAGGAGCGTCATTGACACCATCACCGGTCTGTTAGAAAAATATTCGTTTTAAATAATATATTAGTTTATCGTCGCGCATTATCAACTTACCATAGCAGAGATTTCATTCATAGATTGCAAGTACTCAACGATCTTTGACTTGTGAGAAGGTTCGACTCTTGAGAATAACCTAGCTCTGGCGCAAGCAGCTTTTTGTTCGGAAGTAGGCAAATCATCGAATTCGCGACCAGAGTAAGATTTTCCAGTTGTATCTTCCTCTTCAGTGAAGATACCAATACGTCTGCAGATAGCTTCGGCCGTGGCCTTGTTGTCACCAGTGATGACAATGACACGGATACCAGCAGCACGACATTGAACGATGGAATCAAAGACTTCTTTACGTGGGGGATCTAACATACCAACGACACCGACGAATGTAAGGTTGACTTCATAAGTATAGAATTTATTTGAGTCTCCAAGGTCCATTTCTTCGGGTTTCATTGGGTTGTCAGCGGTGGCAAGAGCTAAACAACGTAGAGTATCACGTCCGCAACCATATTGAGCAGTAAGATCTGTAATCTTTTTCTTTAAAGCGCTGGTAAGAGGTACTTTCTGTGCTCCAACACGAGCGTGTGTGCACCTATCCAATACACCTTCTGCCGCTCCTTTAACGAAAAGTTTTGGTCCTGTACCGATACGGGATGGCTTGGTAGGTATACAATAGGAAGACATAGATTTCCTGTCACGAGAGAATTCCAAGGTGAACTCTTTCTTCCATTTGGTTTCGATTTCTTGTCTAACGCAGATTGCGACTTGACGGCGATCACCGGTTTTGCTAATGTTGAAGGGATTCATTTTTTCAGCCAATACGATTAGAGCAGTTTCGGTAGCTTCACCAACTTTTTCGAAAGCTTGTTTGAATTCATTGAAATCAATGGCGGAATCATTGCACATTACACAAATGGTACCAAGTTCCTGAAGACAATCGAATTCGTGGCTTTTAACTTTTTGTCCTTTAAGGAAGACTTCTCCAATGGGTTCGTAGGTTGATCCGGTGATTTCAAACTCGTGGAAACTGCTGTCGTTGCCTTCAACCTTATCAAAGATGAACATACGTGATACGGACATTTGGTTGGTGGTCAAAGTACCGGTTTTGTCAGAACAGATAACGGAAGTACAACCAAGAGTTTCTACTGAAGGTAGCGACCTTACGATAGCGTTCTTTTTGGCCATACGACGAGTACCCAAAGCGAGACAAGTGGTGATTACGGCTGGTAGACCTTCGGGGATGGCAGCTACGGCCAATGCTACGGCAATTTTGAAATAGTAGACGGCACCTTTGATCCATGATCCACCGTGGGCGGGGTCGTTGAAGTGACCAATGTTGATTGCCCATACAGCAACGCAGATAACTGAAATTACTTTAGATAATTGTTCGCCGAATTCGTCGAGTTTTTGTTGGAGCGGGGTCTTAATTTCTTCCGTTTCTGACATTTCGGTTCTGATTTTACCAATGGCCGTGTTAAGACCGGTTCCAATAACTACACCGCGAGCCTTACCGGCAGCGACGTTGGTACCGGAGAAGAGGATATTTTTCTTATCTTGATTGACGGCTCTGGGGTCGGGGATGGCGTCGGTGTGCTTGATCACAGAAACGGACTCACCGGTCAAGATGGACTGATCGATACGGAGAGTGGTCGAGTAGATTTTGATTAAACGAATATCAGCTGGAATTTTGTCACCTACTGAAACTTCTACTACGTCACCAGGAACGATTTCTTTCGCTCTGATTTTCTGGATACCAGCTTTGTCCGTCCTGACGACTTTACCCATTTCGGGTTCATATTCTTTAAGGGCTTCAATTGCTGATTCGGCATTTCTTTCCTGAATGCAATATATAAGGATTAGAAAGAGATACAACTAAAGGAGGACGACTGCTTACCTGCCATACACCTACGACTGCGTTAGCGATAAGAATTAAAAGAATTACAAAAGGTTCTACGAATGCTGTAAAAGCGCCATCGTGGTCTTCAAATAAAGCTAATACCTGAAACAAGCGAGAAAATAATTACAATAAATAATTATTGCAACATCCAATTATAGAAAAAAGTTTTAAAAGATACATATGTAATTACAGAATTCACTGATTGTACTATCATATTATGCATTTTTAACAGACGTGACCTCTAAAAGGAATATTACTCCACTTACGGAATGAAATATGTAAAGAAGAGAGACAAGATTTCGAAAACGAAAAAACGAGTATATGCGTTAATGAAATTCCTCAAGATGGTGGTAATAAAAATACCGATCACTATTCAAAAAACGTGGTCCACGTCCGATTGATGTGGTTTATTATGATTATTGGAAATCGTTTCTATAAAACATCCAATAAAATTCAAACCAATAATGTTTATTTGAGTTGTTCTAGTATATGAAGTATTTGAATTTAATAACAACGGCTGGGCTTCTGCACTGGCGTGTGCATATTTTATTGCTCGTAAAATTCAATGGTTTATTTTAACTCTTATTTGAAAATTTATTAACGAATTATTTCAGATAAAGTAATCGCAATTTTCGTAGGCAACGTTTGTAAAAATGGTACTAAAAACTATTTTACTGTTCTGATTAGAAACGGATATTTTATTACGATGTAAATAAAAATATACAAGCATTTCTTAATATCACAATATTTCTCTATTAATATTCTATTGCCAGTGCTTCTTGTATTTAATTATGATTTAAAAACATATGCCGTTTACGTCTGTTTTTTAAATCGAGCTGGTTAGGAAAATGTAACACCTTTACCCGTGTATGTATGTATGTATGTATGTATGTATGTATGTATGCATGTATATATGTATGTATCATGTATATATGTATGTATGCATGATGGTGGGCGAGGTTTAAGTCACCTGGGGAATGGATGAATCTTAAATTGATAAATTTAAAACTTAAATGCATAATCTAAAAATATTATTTCCTTAACAAAATCCGAAATTAGATCACTCAAGAAACTCTGTTAAACAAGTATCAATAACAGATATAATAGAAGTATACCAACTTAAATGGTTTGGACATGTTAGTTATAAGGATAGATTAGTCAAAAGAATAATGAAAGCAAGGTGGGAAGAATCAGAACAAAATAAAGATCGAGAAAGACTAAGAAATGAAATAGAGAATAAGAAAGGAGATCTGTCCAAATGAAGAGACTAACTAGCCACAGACCGGATGGAGTAAATTGATACATAAGAAATAAAAGAGCATAAGGATTCTAGCAGAAGAAAACATTGCATCTGGAGTCACTACACTCCATTTTTCAATAACGTCTCATCGCACATCCGGTGCAACAAAGTCTTAAGTGCAAAAATCTATTTTTTACAAGAGAGCCATTTGGAAGTTTTGCTAGTCATAAATTGGAAGTTAAATTATTTAATATTTGCTCATTTATTGTGTATGTTGTATTTATGACATTGCTGCACCAGATGCAGAAGCAGATATAAAAATAATATTTATTCTTTCAATACACAAACAATTTTTTGTTGTATTATTTATACAAAATTAGAAAAAGAAAAAAAATATATATATAATATATAAATGTGATTTTTTTTAATATAAATGATCTTAAATATTTTTTCTGTAGAATATCTACTTGTTTTAAATGACAGTAGGCAGCTCCGCCTAAAGAATAATACAAAATTTTTAGGCGTATTATGTCTAAGATGTTCCTTAAATATTTAAATCAATAAAGAAGTTGTCTTAATGTTTTTCTTACATTACTAATGTGGGCTTCCCACCGTAAAAATTGAGTCTATAGTTTTTTTAGCTAGTTTTTGCGTTTATTTTTAAGCAGAGATTATAATTTTTTACTACTAATGACTTATATTCGGGAATGTTCCTTTTATTATTTGCAAAGTTTTTTCAAAATTTACGGTTACGACAGTTATGACTAAATATATCAAAAATGTATTTTTAAGTTTGTCCAGACCTTATTTTCGTAAACTATTACAGCATCATCTGCGAAACTCATTGGATTTCCAGATGAAAAAGATGAGAGAATATTATTTATGTAGAGTATAAATAAAATGGGACCTATAACTCTTCCTTGTGACAAACCTAAGCTGAATGTTTTTTCACTGCTGTATGTGCTATTAATTTTTACGACTTGTCTTCAATCCGTAAAATAATTAGAAAATAATTGTTGCGGTAATGCACGTATTCCTGTATTTGCCAAGACCTGCAACACTTGAAGATGATCAACAGCGTCGAAGGCCTTCGCAAGAACCAAGAAGACGCATAGGACTGGTTTATTAGTTTCCAGACACTGTGTAATTTGTCTCACTAATTTTGAAATTGCATCGTTTGTTGACAGACCCTCTCTAAAACCAAACTGTTTTTCAAAAATTACGTTGGTTTGTTTAAGTATGCCACTAACTTATTTTTTTTTTGATTTTATGAAAATTTTAGGTAATGGTGTGATAACATAAATTGGTCTGTAGTTAGTTATCTTCGATTTATCTCCTTTTTTTATGGAAAGGGGTAACCACTGCAATTTTAAAAGCTGGAGGAATATTACCCGATTCAAAAATTTTATTTTATTAGGTGGCATATGTGTTTTGCATTTGCTTCAAAACTTCTGTTTTAATTCCATCTAATCCAACTGATTTTTTATTTTTTTAAAGAATGTGTTATTGTAACTATTTCCGATTGGTTGTAAGAAGAAATAATTTTTATTTATATTGTTCACAGGTGGGGGGTTGCAGGTTTTTCAATATCTTTTGCAAAAGATTCACCAACATTTACAAATAAATTAACAAAATATTCTACTATTGTATCTTTACATATGCTTTTATCTTCTTTAACTATTTTTTAATTTCTTTTTTATTTTCTGAGAAATTTTTGATAACTTTCCACAAATGTTTTGAGAGTATATTTATTGTTATTGATTTGAATATTTGTATTTGGCTCTTTATCAATTTGTCTAGATTTTTTTATAATTATAATAGTTCTCCTTTTTAATACTGTTTGAAGGATCATCTTTATATAATTTATACAACTTATTTTAGACTACAATTGAATTAACTATACCTTCAGTTATCCATTTTTTAAGTTTAATATTAGATTTTTTAATTTTGTTTATTAAAGTATGTTTTGTAATAGCATTCTTTAAAATATCTATTAATTCTTTAGTTAAAATGTTTACCGACATCTTTCACATAATAGTCTACCCAATTCATATTTTTGCATTAATGACGTTCAACCGGATGTGTGTCATCTTCAGCAATTATGTGGCAATATTATTTAAATCAAATGTCAAACTTGATATAAAATGTAAAAGATTTTGACTTTGACAAAGATCGATTTAAAAAATCCGATTTCCTGTTTAATTATCCATCTTAGTAACAACAGGAATTTTCCTATAAAACCCAGATAGATAACATAGGCTTAGAAAAAAACAAATACGTACTTTTTATATTTGCCACTATCAGTATCAGAGCTGACACAATTTTATCGCTGTTGCATGGAAATTTTTATTTTTCTTATCATACCGTACCGTGAATTCAATGAAATTTTTATGGAAATAAAACATCGATAAAAATGATATTGTTTTACAATCCTAATTTAATTTTAAAGAAAGAATGCTCCTAGTTTGAAATCTATGGATTATTCAAGTTATTATATTACCATAATAAATTATCTAGAAAGTATCTGAAAGTAAGTGAATAATAAAGTGACAGGCATCAAATATTTCAAAAGAATAGACACCAGAGATAGAAACTATTCTGTATATAGCTTGAAAATGAAGTATAGTTACTGCCATTTATTTTATCATGTAGAATGTACTGCGGGAAAAGGAAACTGAATAAAGCAATCCATTACGTTTTGATAAATTAATGAACTGAAAAACAGTAAATTAACGTTACTTAATACTACTAATGAATCGACGATTGAATAATCAATAATTATTATTATTATGCTTTGAGTTTTGATAATAAAATTGAATATTTGCAAAGCAAGAATCAAATTCAAAACACATTTCCTAATAAATCATTTCCGTTCGGTGCGCGAAACGATAATTTTGACATTTAGAACGGGAGGATCTCACACAAATTTATATATAGAACAAAGGACGCCGAACAGAACTCACTCTAAAATAATACAAAAAGTAAACTGTGTAGACGTTGTTTTTTCGAAAGGTGTTCTGTTTAATGTTAAGCAGAGCCAATCTGTGAAAAAAAAAACGTGGGCATTAGCAAAAATATATTTGTAAGTTACAATTATCTAAATTTGTTTGTTCAAAATATCACTGTCACTAAGGAATGTGTTTAACGATGTTCTAAATGTAATTAAAACAGTAAAAATAAGATAAGGTAGATAAAAGATGAAATGGAAATATTGACAAAATAAAAATAGACTTTGGCCAAGCCAAAGAGCCACACAAAGGGAAGGATCTCTTTCCTACATCTTTGGGTAGACAATGAATACATTATATATAGGGTTTAACATTATGTAGTGAACATATTCCCGCAGACGATACTATCGATCAATTTCACCAAAAAAATTAATTGATTAAATGTTAAAAAGTTAACGAATATGCTAGATAAGAAAAAATTATCGCTTGACAATGTAATTAATATTAGTTTTTTTAACAGAAAAAAAAATGCGTAATTACCTGTATTGCAAAATCTGTTAATTAAAGTTTATATTAGATAGCAAATTTTATCGTTGTATCAGTACCTAGTCGGAAAAGTTTAATTACTTTTGTAATATGCAAGAACTTCAAGGTTTCCAAACTACTAAAATGAAGAAAATTTTATTCTTGAATAAACCAGCAAAGATAAAACACTTTGTTAATACTTTTCTGTCGGAGTCTTAGTATTCTCTTTCAAATATTTGCATTATTACGTTACACCTTGTATACATAATACACACCATTGTAAAAAGTGATAGCTAATAACATGATGAGAATAAAAAATTGTTTCAGAATAATACGTATAATTTCACATAAAAAGATAAACCAACTTCAATGCTAAATAGCAGTTATTTTGAGTAACTTCAAAATGTTTTTACATGAATAAAATCAATGATAACATAATTATCACTAACACAAAACAAATTAAATTATTTATTAAACAATTAAAAAAATATAACAAAGTTTATCGATAGGCACTTAGTACAGAGAAAACAAAATGCTTAAATAATTTAGTTAAGGTAATTATCAAATAGATAAATTTGGTATATGCAAAGATTTGATACGTTTCGAATAGATTAAATGCCAGAGCATTAGTAAAGATGTTGCTAGGTCAATTTTTATGTACAGGTCAAAAAGAATATTACGAACAAAACATATATTATTCCTGACGTTTTGGAGTCTGTTCGGAATTGTTCATGAGTGAAAAGATATGAAAAATAGAAACAATAGGTTGTTTGTAGGTTGGTGTGATGACCAAAGACTAAACAAAGAGCGGCAATAACGAAACTAAGCAAGATACAAAGACTCGCCAGTCATGGAATAACGAAGGCAATTAGAACAACCCCTGTAGCAATAATGGAAGCACTAACAGGCTTGCCACCACTTCACTTTGCGATACAAGAGGATGCAAGATTAGGAACTTATACATGACCAACGTTACTTCTTCAATAAGGGAACCCAGTGCCCAACTATAGGAACATACCTGGTACAAAGAAGGGTCAAAGACTGTGGATGACACTAGGGCTGGAGTATTCTCCAAAAACATGATCGTTTCAGTATTTCATGCAATCTTGCAATGTGCAAGAACAAAAAATAGGAGAGCTTTCGTAAATAAGCAGATCCAAATAATGCCAGACAGCTAGACGACCCTTAAGCCTATATCAAGTCAAAAAGTGACGTTGAGGCTGGTATGGGATTGCATCCAAGAACTGAGAACACTGGAAAACCGAAATAGAGTAAAACCAGTTTGGGTGCCAGGTCATCAAGTAATCGAGGGTAATGAAAAGGCTGACGTACTCGCAAAGAGAGGGTCAGAAGAAATGCCAGAACCAATAAACTTTGGAGTACCAAAAAGTAAAGTTGGAGGTTTCATAAATGACTGGCTTCGGAGAAAACACAACTATTGGAAGAATGCCCCAAAACAAGCACATAGAAAGACCTTTACAGGAAAACCATGTTTAAAAAGTTAACTACTCTCCATGAATAAGAACCAAATGAAAACAATAACAGGACTCAAGACTCGGCCTGCCCCAGTAAAGGGACACCTAAACAAAATAGGCGTGTATAATGAATTGTGTCACAAGGAACCAAAAACGGCCAAACACATACTGTGCAACTGCTAGGCATTGGATCGCAAAAGATTAGATACTTTTTGGACAAGTACAGGTTAATCCAACAACCTATGAAACACACCCTGTCAAGGACTTCTACAAACTATTACAAGGGACTAAGGTGAGAAAGTGGATTAACTATGAATTAATATGGGTCAAATACAATAGGCCACTAGGCTTCAATGTTGTCGAAGACTAAGTTAGGAAAACGTAATTAAATCCTCCCTGGAGAAAATGTCTAAATGGTCACAATGAATAATCGCTTAGGTATTTAATAGATCGGCATATTAAACAGATTGTTAAATTTCTCACACTTTCTTTTGTAAAACCTTTGACAGCAAGTTAACAAGGAACTCACATCTAGAAAAAAAAGCATACATTGCTTATGAACAATGCCGTCGAACCGTTGGGCGTACCTGGGATCTTTTCCCCAGAGTCGTCGCCTGGACTTACACGGCCATCATAAGACCTATGCTAACATACGAAGCCATTGTCTGCGTACCAAAAAGCCAAAAATTGACAGCTATCCGCAAACCAGAATAAATTCAAAGCACAGCATGTATCAACATAACAGGAGCCATGGAAGTCATTCTTAGTCTCACTTTTCTTAATATGTACATCTAGGAGGTTGCTCTGATGACAATGACACGCTTCAGCACGGTTGTAATAGAACCTGATGTAGAATCTGGTGAGGTGAACATGGACTCCATCTCACCTAGCTATATCTTCCATAAGCCATATGAAGTTATAACAGAACAAATAGAAAAGACGGAAGTAGCAGGTACGATTCATATCTACACCGACGCGACGGTTCTAAAACAAGGCTCAGGATGTGGAATATACTCCAGATCCTTAAATCTAAACATAAAATGGGCTGTGTGCAATAATGCCAGTGTGGTTCAAACCGAGCTCACGGGGATTCTCATAGCAGCAAAAGAAATCACCAGAAACAATATCACTGAAAGGGACATGCTCATCTATACAGATAGCAGACAAGCACTACTCACCCTGGACAGACCACTCAAGGTAAGTACTAGAATGTCATAAGGCTTTGACTGAAACATTCATTAACAATGTAGTCACCTTAATATGGATCAAAAGTCACGCCACATGGAAAGGTAATTCACTGACCAAGAAGGCAGCCAACCAAATACTTTTTGGATCTGGCCCTTCTATCGGACTGACAACATCGGTAGTGACAAATTTAATTAAAGAACATTCCCTTGTGAAATTCAAGGAAAGATGGAATGAAACAAGAAATTGTAGACTTACCAGGGAGCTTTTAAGTTATCCACTACAGCAAACAAATACTTGACTATGAATAGTCACAATTTGCGCCTGATCAGAGGCATTCTGACTGGTCATTGCCAAGTACAGAAGCATCTCCATATCATGGCGCTGTCAGAATCTGCTCTTTAACAAGAAGATGAGACCATCGAGAATCTACGAATAGCCCAACGCTCTCATTTATTAGAAGATTTGTGTTCGACGAGAATTGGCTAACACCAGCTGATATAAGAGAAGCACCTCTTGACGACGTTGTTAAATACATTAAATCTGTAGGCTGGCTCACGAGCTAGGAGGTTCCTATCTGCTTAGGATGATGCACAATGGACCTAGTAAGACCTAAGTGTAGAGGAGCATCCCACCCTCCACACGTTACAGATACAGACAGATAGCGATAGGAAAGTTAGATCCTCGCCCATCTCGGCCATTTTATCTTGCTCTGTTCTGTTTATATTCATCTAAAATTATATTTCTGTCTCAATCAAAGTACCTTTTATCAAGTAACTTTAAAACATTAGATCCACTGGACCTGTTCGAATAGGGATAATAGGAAAAACGCATTATTTAGACTTCCAATTTTCCAATTTTATTTAAAAAGCTAGTATAGTTATTTGTATACCAAGGCCTTAACCGCAAATGTCTTTAGGCGACAGTTTTTAGACGACTGTATCATCAAGCAGAACCAATATTTTTTTTTACATTCCTGTTTTTGAAAAAGGCTTAAATGCAAGAATTGTTTCAAATTTTTATTGATCGAATAAAAATTCATTGTTAACTAATAAAATTTGTACAGAATTACTAACGATAATTATGATAAACCTATGTTTTAAAAAGTAAATGTGGCCAAAATAATTACACTTTAGGGATGTTAATAAATCTGTAAAACGTCACTCGCCTAAAAAAGTTGTTATGCAATGAAAGAACAATAAAATTTTAATTTAAAGTAATTTTTATTTATTTTTTTATTATTGTAAACGTATTTAAAGAAAATATAAGATGCTAAAAAAATTCCGGCTTCATTTTTAGAACAATAGTGGTGAAAAGTTTAGTATGTCCTTTTGCCTTAATATACCATGATACAAAATTTAAATTTAAATAATTATGGCTCCGTTTTATCCTCCATCTCGGAGAAAACCGTAAAATTTCATATATTTCAAGGGTCGTTGGCACACATTTACATAAAAATATTGTGGGTGTGAGTGGAATATATAATGAAAAGCTATAAGAAAAAAATACGAAAAAATATACTTACGAATGAAATTATAGCGGCTAATAATAAAATTTTGACTAGTAGATCATCAAACTGTTCTAAAACTAATTGCCATATGGACTTTCCTGCAAAAAAATATAAAAATTAATAAATAACATTAGATAAATAAGTGTTGTTGAAATCTGAAAACAGTTATGTTATTTACATAATCTTTGTGTTACATCACTGTTCTGCTTATCATCTACTTATATGTACCGTATAATGCTATATACAGGATGAGCCAAATATCACTGCTAAATATAAGTTACAATAATTTGATATAAAGAGTCGATCATAATCATATTTAATCAATCAATATTTAACTTCAAAATAGTATAAAAGCTTTTTTGGAAAATAAGTCCATTATTTTTCGTATACAAACGAAGTATTTAAGATTGTGTTTCTTAAAAAAAAAATTATTCATAAAAAATAAGAACGCCTTTCATGCAAGGTCAATATGTGCTGGTATTACAATCTTATTTTACATGGAAAAGTTCCCTAATGATCAGCATTTTTTTGCAATAACCTGTTATCGTTTGCAGTATCAATTATGTAAGAAATAACCAATAAGCTTACATTTTAAAGTAGGTATACTTATCTATATTTATCTTTTTTTTTTCTACATTACTCGAATATAACTATTTTCAAAAATTTCCAAACCTAATGGGATGAATCATAAATTGGCTAAACTTCAAAAAAGAAAAAAATTTGGCGGTAAAAAATGACTGACATTTTTTTTAATCGAATCTGCCAAATTAATTTTATAAATAAAACATATCGTATATATGAATTTTTTAAATGTTTATATACCTCTAAAATATTTCTTAAGTATAATTTATCAGACGTCTACCATCGAAATTGATTTTGAATGATATTAAACACGAATAACTACTCAATAGCATAATTAATTAATTCTCATTTTGCATGCTTGAGAACTTTTCCAACACTAAGTTTGATAATTAATTACTTTAAGTCGATAAAATGTCTTCAAACGGAGATAATATGCATTTGTATTTTATAAACGTTTTGTAGTAACAAATAGCACATCAACCGGGTCTATTCTAGCTGCAGAGCTAAAGTTTTATGAATAAATATAAAAAAATTGTTTATACTTTGACTTGAAGAGAGACAATCAATCGAGTGGCCAGCACGATCGCCAGATTTGATTCAGTTGTATTTTTTATGGGATAACGTCAAAAATGTGATACAGGATAACAAATAGCACATCAACCAGGTTAACCCTAACTACAACGCTAAATGTGCTAAAGTTTTATAGATAAATGCAAAAAAATTGTTTCAGCTTTTATTTGATGCTTTGATTTGAAGAGACAATCAATAGAGTGACCAAGTACGATCGCCAGATTTGATTCAGTTATATTTTTTTATGGGATAACCTCAAAAATGTGATACAGGGTAACAAATAGCATATCAACCAGGTTAACCCTAACTACAAAGCTAAATGTGCTATAGTTTTATAGATAAATACAAAAAAATTGTTTATTTTTTATTTGATGCTTTGATTTGAAGAGACAATCAATAGAGTGACCAGTACGATCTCCAGATTTGATTCAGTTGTATTTTTTATGGGGACACCTCAAAAAATGTGATACAGGGTGTTTCATAAGTTGGGTAATTAATTTTTAACAGGGTATTATAGAATTTCATAAAATTGACAAAATTTTCAAGTACTTTTTTTCATAAACTCAAAAATTAGATATGACCATTTTAAATTTTAAGTACGTATCTGTTTCGTTTGGAAATAATTAACAGTGCCAAAAAAAGTGTTATTTAGCGTTTTTACTGGATCCAGTAATCGATCAACATCGTAATTCTAGTTTAGTGTTTGTTTTAAAAGTGATTTAAGGATTTATCTGTTTTGGAATAATTTTATACGTTTATTATTTAAATTTAAAAACTTTTTTGCTTTTACTTGAAAATGGGTAACTAATAATGATGATTTTTTTCAATAAATAAAATTTCTTACCCTTTAATAACAATTATTGAAAAATACAAATTATAAAATAATAAAAAAAGTGAGTAGTAATTACTTGTTTCAGTAACTAAACTGACTACTAAAAACTACTGTAATTCGAGCCATTTCCGACAAATCATGCTCTAATCTTTTAAGTCGCTCTCTGCCTTGTTTGGGCTTTTAAGACCCCACTATTTAAAGAAATAAGTCAACCTCCCCGGTGCTACGCCTATAGCCGTAGTGTATCATTCATACACTAAAACGATGACGAATTTGGTACATGCATATTCGAGAAATTGTCGGAGACACCAGTCTAATAAATGTTGGGAGCGAGAATAATCTAGAGCCTGCACCATTTTATATACATAAATAGGCTGGCAGTGGAAGTAAATCAGTTGAAGTCAAGACAGTTGAAGATAGACATTCGGATTGTTATATAAATTAGAATATAATTGTGAAATATAAATAATGTTCATCTAAGTATTTTAGTAGGCTATGAGGGCTATCAGGGCAACGAAAAAGCCGACGAATTAGCCCGAGAAGGCTCAGATAAGGCAATGACAGGCCCAGAACCCTTCTGTGGAGTTGCTAAGGCATTGTGCAAGGCATCCATCAAACAATGGATGCAAAAAGAGTCTCAAGAATGGTGGAACAACTATCCAAGACTGAGACAGGCCAAACAGTTCATCAAGAAACCATCGGCCAAGTTTACGAAAGACCTACTGGATCAAAAGTGTCAAATCGTTAGGATAACAGTAGGTATTCTTACTGGACACTGTCCCTTAAAAGGCACATGAATATCATCAATCCAGCAGAAGAAGCAACTTTGTGCAGGTTCTGTGAAAAGAAAAGGGAAACATCATTCCACGTCCTGTGCCAATGTGAAGGCCTGGCCGGAGTGAGGTTTCTAACATTGGGCGAAGAAAAGCCAAACACATGCAACTAAATGCGGAAGCCACTGTCAAAGCTACCAAGTCTAATAAAAAAGACCAAGCTAGACGACATTACTCTAAAACGGAGTCCCACAATAGATCTGAAAAGGTCGCGGTGGACAAGGACAAACAACGTCCAACTCCGAATCTAATTTAAGTATTTTAGTATAAATTAATTAATTAGTATTTAGTATAAATTAATTAAGTAGTATTTAGTGTAAATAAATTATAAACTGTTTTAAATAAATAAACGTTACATTGCACTGAAGTACAAATTGTAAGAAAAAATATAAGAAAAAAATAATCCAAAATTTTGCAGAAAACAGCCCTCAATACTCTCAGGAGTATAGAGATTGGCATGCCTTTGCATTATAGGAGCACTAAGAAGTACTTCATTATAAACCTCTCACCCCTTAACCTAGTCATAAAGGGAGAGGTCAGAATGAGTGCATACAGGCTGGGCATCCACAACAACTGGAACCCACTGAGACATATAAAACATAGCAGAATAATACATTTGGTAAATGATCCTATATTAAATATGGAATCAGATCATATGGCACCCCGCCTGACCTTCAACAAACTCTTCCAGAAGTGAGATTCTCATCTTTGAATTCGGCACGTGTTGAGAAGCTTCTATCTTCGTTCGATAGAATGTGATTCTTATGTAATGTCTCTCTCTATTCAACACGTAACGTGTTGAGTTCGCACATAAGAATCCCTATCCAGGTCAACTGCAACTGGAACGAGGTAAATAAGAAGGTACTTGCTTAGCGGTCTCTTATGGTATAAGGATCTAAAACTAGCAAGGGAACAGGCTCTGGCGTACATGGAGTTAAACCCAAATGTAACATCATCGTTCCACTGGGAAATCATACCATTATATTTCAGGCTGAACTACATGCAATATAATTGTGTGTACGATATAAGAAAGTACAAAAACAAAACATCTTAATTCTATCAGATAGCCAAGCAGTCTTAAAGGCCCTTGGTTCAAACAAAATCAAGTCAAAGCTGGTCTGGAACTTCCTCGGAATGCTAAATGATCTTGCAACCCATAATAAGATAAAACTAGCGTGGATTCCAGGACAGAAAGGTATCCAAGGAAATAAAAAGGCTGATGAACTCGTCAAAGAGGGATCATAACAACCATTCACAGGACCCCAACCTGTATTTGGAATAAGCAAAACCTCTGCTAGACAGGCAGTGAACTTAACACCAAATTCACTGGCAACATATAAGAGGGCACATAATACAGAATCAGTAAGCTCAATCTTCTAGACCATAATGAAACTAACTAAGTATTCTTCAGTCTTCAATAGTTATAAAAGAAATTACAGGTTGCTGGTAATGCATTGTAAAATTTCAGTCCCAGATAGTCAAGTTACTGACCTTTTTATGCAACTTTTAAGCATTAACGGGACAAAATATCGCAAAATATGGATTATTAGATATATCATATGTGATGGTAAATTTAACCTGAGCTTTTGTTTAAAAGTTTATAAAATATTTCGTATTTCCCAATTTTGTTCATTACCCTGTAAAGATATTTATGTTAAAATTAGTGTACAAGGAGCATCGTGCTTAAATGCTTCAACTAGAAACAGGCACGTACTTCAAATTTCCTAGAAGACAAAAAAAAAAGAAAAAACAAGGAATTAATTTTTTTCTTACAATTTTGAATATCAAATTTGGTTTACCTTTACCCAAAGTAAGATTAACGGTAGAAATAGAGAAAATGTCCTTTATAATGCAACCGGTTTCGAAGTGATACACTTCATCTATTGACACGCCTAGTAGGTAAGAGAAAAAATAATAAGTGAAATTTACATTGTTAGCTAGATGAAACACCCTGTATAGTCTAATAGAACATTTAAAAGACAATCAGGGTCAAATTGATAAGAATCACTCCGAATATGTGAAAATTAGAAGAAATTTTCCATGAAAGGTTTAATAATTCGATATTAGCTCCAATATAGCTGAACAAACGATAGATTTATGAACAACAATTTCCTGACTCGTTTTTCATACATCATAAACGCGACGGGCGGCACATTTACAGTTGAATAACGATGGGCGTATATAGCAATGAAAGCGCCCGTTTATTTCCAGCTTCTTTATGAAACAAAAACGGTTCGATTGTGAAGCGAATCAAGGCACAGTCTTTATCAGATTTTCCGCG